CTAAAACTTCCATTACGATGTTAAAGAGCAACGGAGACAATGGGCACCCTTGCCTGGTTCCTGATCTGAGTGGAAATGATTTCAATTTAACTTGGATGGGAGCTTCTGTAAAAAGATCTCTGCAGTCCGCCATCTTGCCTCCACCCCCCCAGTCTTGTATTTTAATTGTTAAAAAGCTGAAAGGAAATGTGGAAGAGTTTTTCAGATATATGTTTCTCAAAAATGGTGATATTTTAATATGTCTTTATGGTTTATCTCAGATTGAATTAAAATGGCCAGTTCTTCTGATGGTTACGTATTTTGGTGTGAAGCAAGATTGTAATTGAGGACTTTGACTTTGTCATTCCTTCTATAAATATGGCCTCAAATGTAGGCAATGAGAAAATAACCTAAAATATTAGAAACTGATCACAAAATTTGTAAAATCATTCGTTTATGATAAGCATCTGTTACATTTAAAATGTTAAAGTAAGATGAGTAAGAAAGAAAGGTTATGCCAACTATTTCATATGGAGACTCAGTTTTTATGTTATAGTTGGTATAACAAGTGACTTAGTTTTTAGTCTTATACTTACAAAACTGAACAGGCTTCATTAGCAATCTCATATTAAATGTACTTCAAAATAAAATAAAAATGTATGCATATATTGCCCAAAATTGTATGTAGCACTGTGATCAGATTTGACCATTTTTCATCAGAAATTCACATTACTTTTAACAAATAAGGTGAAAGGCAGTATTAGTTGGCTAGTTGCTTTCTATCTTATCAGCAGTTCTCAAATTCTTTTTTGGCAAAACATGCCTGTTTCCTGCTCTATAATGTGTTGTTTGTTTTACTTTTGTGATAAGAACACTTAATATGACATCTACCTTCTTAACATATTTTGAAATTCTATTAACTCTAGGTACTGTGTTGCAGAGTGGATGTCTAGAGTTTATTCATCTACTATAACCAAAACTTTATATCCATTGAACAACAACTTCCCATTTCCCCAAACCCTGAGCCCCTGCTAACCCTTATAACATTCTTCACTTCTGTGAGTTTGACTATATTTTTTCCAGTTTGACTATTAGAGACACTTTGTGTAAATGGAATCATGTAGTATTTGCCATGTTATTATAAACAGCAGGACTTCCTCTTTTTGAAGTCTGAATAACACTACATTGTACGTATCATTAACCTCTGCCTTTTGAGTGGGTTGTTTAATCTATTCACATGTTTGTTATTATTGACATAATAGGATTTACTTTTGCCAATTTTCATTTGATTTTGTATGTTCCATGTCTTTTGTTTGCTTCTATATTCTGCTGCGACTTCTTTCTTTTACATTAGTGAATACTTTCTAATGCAGCTTTTTAATTTCTTTAATGACTTTTTCAATGTATTTAGAGAATTGTTTCCATAGCAATTGAACTAGGGATTACCATAGACATCTTCATTTATCATAGTCAACTTCAGATATGCACTCACTTAATTCCAATGAGTTTCACAAAGTGTTACTCTTATATAGCTATATTTCTTTTCTTCCTTTTGTCTAGTAGTAGTGTCATATATACAGCATCAATAATGTTACAAACCCAGGAATAAATGTATAATTTTATAATTTGTATGATTTCAAGAAAGCTGAGAAAAAAAAGAAAAGTACATTAGTTTGCTTTGTCTGCCAGAACAAAATAATGCCATAGATTACACCACAGAAATTTGTGTTCTCACAGTTCTGGAGGTTGTAAGTCCCAGATAAAGATGTTTGTCTCTTCTGGGCTCTTCTGAGGCCTCTCTTGGCTTGTAGATGGCCTTTTTTATTTTTTTTCCTCAGTATGTATCCTGATGTCTCTTTCTGTTTCCAAATTTTCTCTTCTTGTAAGAACACTATT